TTAAGTCGTGTTGCGCAGATCTTGTTTTATATTTGGCGTCAATTTGGTCTCAAATTATGCGCAAGCTTTGCTCGGTTTTTGCCAGCAAGTTGCTGTTATGTTTTGTCAACAAGCTTGAATATATTTTTGCTAGCAATTCTGCAACATTGCCAGACAAAACAAACTCTGCATCATATTTGATGTCTTTCTGCTAACAAAATTTGTAACAAGCATTTGGCAAAATCTGTTTCGACAGATTTGGTTATCTGGGTAGATATAGGTTAAATTAATATTTTTTGAAACAAACCAAAGAGAGACGTAAAAATTACTGATGTGAGCTTTATATATTTTTTTAAAGTATAAAAAACCCCCAAGAGTGACTACTATCGAGTCTTATTTAACAAAGAAAAACCAACTTACTTTTTGTACCTTCCTCAAGATTACATATCTCATAAAATCCTCGTCCAGTGAATAGCTGGATGCGGTCGGTAGTTAGGCAGGGTGATAATTGCAGACGAGACGAGACAGTGTTGTATTAAACAAACGCCGGTCGAAACATAAACCGACATATCGACGTGGCCAACAAATACTTCACTTATAGTGAAGCATTCACACTACAGTCAAATATATATAATTAACAATTAGTTAGTAAATGCATATGCAATGCATCAAGCGATAAGAATGGCCAAAAGCAGTGGTCGAAAAAAAGTTATACTTACAGAAACAGAGCCGATAAAAAGAAATATACAAAGAAATACAAAAAAATATATATGAATGTACAACAGTCAGCTATATAGCATGAATAAATATAGCATGAATTAGCATACGCAAATCACTTCGGCGCCAAATTTCCTGTGCTGTGATTGGCTGATTTCATGCGACACGCTTGTCGCAGTCGCAGAAAGTTGAAATTGGCTAAACTCTGTACGACAAGGGCTCTTGCAACCATAGACGTATAATATATAGACTGCGCGTTTGGCTGAAAAGATGTCTTCAACGTTGAGAGAGACAACATACTTTGAATAGTAACTCTTTCTCTGTCTATCATTTCCCCTACTACTTCGTTAGACAAAGATGAGGCTACTATTCAACACCAACTGTCTCTCTCTCAACGTTGAAGACATTTTCTTACCATGGCAAAGGTAGGGAACGCGCAGTCTATGGGCCGTATTCATAGTCCGTACTTATTTTTAAGATCGTCTTAAGTTTAGTCTTAAGACGCCCTCTAGATTCAGAGTCAAAAATAAGGCGAGACTTGAGCAAACGTTTCAAGGAATATCTTGGTCAAGATGATCTTATTTAGATGCGTCTTAATATGATTCATAAATCCATTTAAGCATGAGATTGAGGTTACCTTATTCATCATAAATTCATAGTCATTAAAGGCCGTCTTATTTCACGCATACACTGACAAATAAGACGATCTTTGCCAAGACATGTCTGAAGACGTCTTAAGCAACAGCTTTTGTTGAAACAGGTATTTAATAAATAAACCTCTGGCATTCTTTTTCTAAAAAAAGTCAACGTCTTGGCAATGAATTTAGAAGATCCAAGAAATTTGGAAATATTAGGAAATTTTTNGAGTGACGAAGAAGAAATAGAAAACATAAGGCGTGTTCCTAAGCGATATTTTCGTGATTATCAAAATCCTTTCGAATTTTACAATGAAATAGAATTTAAAAGAAGATTTCGGTTTTCCAAAAATTCAGTAATGTTTGGCATTTTACCTTT